AGGGCAACAAAAGAAGATCAGCTGGGAGGCTGGGAGGCAGCGGGAGCAGGGCCAGTCCAGAACCTATCAGAACTGACTAAATACCACCTCTGGTCTTTGCTTGCTTCACATAACTTATCCACAGCTTTATGCATAGCCTTTAAATAGTTTCTTAGGGCTCTCTGGAATCTTTATAGCTCTGAGTAGGAAGGGACCTTGGAAGTCTTTTCGTCCAAGCCCTGCTCAACCAGGAGTTCCTATACCATTTCAAACAAGTAGCTGCCTAATCTCAATTTAAAAACCTCTAGTGATGGAACACCTACAACTTCTGAAGGCAATCCTCCACTGATTAATTGTCCATGAAATTTCTCTTTATTTCTAGGTTAGTTTTCTGATTGATTAGTTTCCATCCATTGCTTCTTGATCTGTCTTCAGGTGCTTTGGAGAATAGGTTGACCTTTGTGGCAGCCCCTTAGATATTGGAACACTGCTACCATATTACCCCTAGAACTTTTTTCCATTAAACTAGACTTACCAAATTCCAATAAGTCACCCAGAAATCAGCAACGTTTCCTTACAAACATGTGTTAGACTGATAAAACACCCACTGGGATTTTGAATGTTCCCACACTAGAACTGTTTTCCATTCTCTAACAAAAACCCAGACTTTTTATGAAACTCTTCTCATGCAGTATATATGAAAGAAAACCCTGATGAATTGGGTCAATTGGTCAAGCATTCTGTGTCAATAGTTCTTTTCCACTGCTGCATCCTAGCAGCTGGTATTTCATAGCGGACACTGGTATTAAATACTATACAAGGTAATCAAGGGACTTTGCCTCATTATAAGGGAGATTGTGAAAGGATGTATATAAATTCCAATGGGTTTATAAATGAGTTTCAAAGTTCTTTGAATCTTAACCTTTATAACTATTGCTGTGAGATTCAAGGAGCAGCAGCTTTGCTCTGTGTTTCTAATAATGCTTCCCCCAGGTGGCACAAGCTTTGTGATTTTTAATCTAACTTTAATCTATCTCAAAATATACCCAGAGAACTGACCATTCAGGAATTCAGAGATTATATTTGTGCCCACAACCTACAGATTAGAGTACATTCATCCAGCTTCATCCAATTGCGGATTTTCTACAATGCGACTGAAGTTGGATTGGTTTTTGTATAATTGCTACTACTATTAGTACTAAAATTACCACTAGGATTAAGGTTTTATTTGTATAAGAATTTTCTTGGAAGATTTTACCAAAGCAGTGTATGAATAAATTACACTTACTTTCACTTTATCATCCCAGCTGAGAGATGAATTTATAATAATATCAGGACGATATGGCCACACCTAAAAAAAAACATTTTAAAATAATGAGCTTTATGAAATAAAGGAAAAGACAGACCTGTGAACAGCATGTTTCAGTATCCAGTCTGGAAATCATGAAGGCCTGAGTGACTGTGAATGGGCCTCAGACAATTCAGGAATGAGTGTACATCAGAAACTCACTTAACAACGCTCTTGCTTAGCAACCAAAATGTTGGCTTAGAAACTCTGGCATTTGAAGCAAGTCTTAAAGCTGTCAAGTTACAAGACCCTTGCACCCCTAACCCTTTAGGAAAAAAAACCCAAGGAGTGTTCAAACTTGACAGCTTTAAGACTTGTGGACTTCAACTCCCAGAATTCCTCCTCCAGTCATGTTGGCTCAGGAATTCTGGCATTGAACTGTGCAAGTCTTAAAGCTGTCAAGTTACAAGACCCTTGCACCCCTAACCCTTTGAAAAAAACCCAGGGGTGTTCAAACTTGACAGTTTTAAGACTTGTGGACTTCAACTCCCAAAATTCCTCCTCTCACTCTTCATCTTTAGGATGGGTGGATGAGTGGAGGGAGGGAGCTGGAACCGGTTCTAAACAGCACTGTAGATTTGTGAAACCTCTTCTATAGAACTGACAGGAACCCACCCCTGATATACATGAACACATATATCATATTCAGAAACATTTCTTAGAGTTNTTGCTGTCAAGGTTTGTCGGACTTGCTGCCAAAGTCCTTATCTACTTGTTTATTTGGCTTTCAGCCACCAAGAGTCTGGACTTGCTATTAAAGGACATTCTCATTAAGCTTGTCTCGGCTTTCGTTACTGGACGGAGGAGGGGATCAGAACACAAAAGTATATAAATTTGGGAGGTATAAATTGAAGAATCGGTTTACATCAGATTTAACAGTTGTCAAAAAGGGATTTTTATGTTGCTTTGTCCCACTTCCTAGAGCTGAAGAGCACATAACAACAATCTTATTTACCCTGTATTAAACTTCATTTTGAAGTTTCTAGACCGCCCTTGGTCCATATTAGCATCTTCCATATGTGAGATTACATCTCCATGATCTTTTGTAATGGCTATACAACTGTAGTTGAGAAATTCTTGTAGTTGAAGATCATATATACTAAAAAGATGTAACTAAAACAGATTCTAAATTAGACAGTGAAATACATCAGATCTCTCCCCCACCCCCCAAACTCTGTTAAATCATAAAATGGCACTAATGCTAGGAGGCCTACATTTGTTTTATTTTATTGTTCATTTATTTATAAAATATATAGGCCGCCCATCTTACGTCAAGGTAACATTTGGGGTTTTATTAAATCTCAGGTCTCTTCTGCTATTGAGCTATGCTTTCAGGGGTTCGCAAATGTGAGCAGGCATGCATATGTACTCACTTCACTCGCAAATGCCCCGTCCGTGCATACACTCAGCCTTCCACACATGCGCTTTGGCTAAAAATGGTGCCTAAATGGGATGGCATAGAGTTGGGGCAGGGGGGCGCCCCCCCACCTGTGATTTCCACTACCAGTTCGGGTGAACCGGTCCGAACGGGCAGAATGCCATCTCTGCATGCTTTGTATATTTAGTGAGTGCTGTCCAATTTTTTTCACAGTGCATTTCTGTCCATATCACATTTCCCTCCTGGTTTTATGCAATCATTGTCCAGTTTTTCATAAGCTCCTGTAAATTTAAGCTGAAGGCCCTTCCTGAACTCCTTGGTCCAATTCTCCTGTGAGGAAGAGTATCAGCTGTGGGAGATGATAGTGTCATTGGGGCCTCTAAAACAATACACATCCGTCGTTGTTACCATTACACAAACTATGAACATTGCAAACTGGTTTCTGAATTTTCAGCCTTTTTAAAAAGCACTATATCTTTTTCATCTATAGTATCTTTTTAGACTGGTGCCTCGGAAGATCTTTTTATTATTATTATGCTATAAACCATTCTAGAAAAATGGGAGCCAGAAAGTTGAGTGTATGGGTATTCCTTAACTTATGACCACAATTCCTGAACATATGGCCAGAATTTCCACTGCTAAACAAGGCTATTAAGTGAGTTGAGTCTGATTTTATAATCTTTTTGCCATGTTAGTGAATGTCTCTTTTTTGCTTGTTTCCTTGGCTGTCCATGGTATAGTCAGGTTTTTCCCCCAACACCAAATTTCAACTGTTAATACAATGGTAATATTTATTTACCTACAGTATTTATGTCCTACCCTTTCTCTGACAACTCAAGAATATATAAAGAATTGTCATCTAATTATCTCCTTGCTGTAACAATCCTGTACAATAGATTAGGCTGAGAACCAGTGACCTAAAATCACCCAGTGAATTCTACAATTGAATGGGTATTTGTACTGAGGTCTTAAGCAATATATATCCTGGGTCTTAGATTTAAGAACCACATCAGTGGTGGGTTTCAAAATTTTTTAGAATCTCTTCTGTAGGTGTGGCCTGCTTTGTGGGAGTGGCTTGCTGGCCATGTTACTGAGTGGGAGTGGCTTGCCGGCCATGTGACCGAGTGGGAGTGGATTGACAGTCATGTGACTGGGTGGGCGTGGCCAACTTGTAAAATGTGTGAAACTCACTTACCAACGCTCTTGCTTAGCAACCAAAATGTTGGCTCAGAAACTCTGGCATTTGAAGCACACAAGTCTTAAAGCTGTCAAGTTACAAGACCCTTTCACCCCTAACCCTTTAGAAAAAAACCCCAGGGGTGTTCAAACTTGACAGCTTTAAGACTTTAAGGTTTAGATAGGACTCTTAGAGGCGAGCGGGGTGATTGGTGACCCAGCCAATCAGTGAGCGGTGGGCAGGGCACGCGCGGTGCATACGGGCGGGAGGAGGGAGCTTGAACCGGTTCTAAACGGCACGGTAGATTTGTGGAACTTCTTCTATAGAAGAGGCTAGAACTGGCAGGAACCCACCCCTGAACCCATATATACCACAAATGCTTTCAGCAAGATCCAGAACATTTCCTAGCATTTTGTTCCTGACAAATAGTGAATGATAGTTGAGGGCGCACATAGAGATCCTGTGTGTGTTTGCCACGGATAGAAGATTTATTGAAAAAGTCTAATGAGTTACATCATAAGGCTTGGCCTATTTACTTTCCAGTAATTATTACTTTCAGGTAAGTAAACAAACTATTGTAGATAAAATATATATTGCCTTACACCTGCAGCTTTTACAATGCTGCTTACAGTAATAGGCTATAAGGTTGATTAACAGCTCTTTAATATTGTTTTAGTAACCAAATTCATCATTTCCTTCCATTGGTTCTTGGGAGGAATCAGTTTTAGACTTTTGTTCCGTTGGTTTCATAGCTTTAAACTTTGAGGTGAAGAAGGAAGATCACATCCTACTGCATTTTTTTTTTAGAATAACTAAAAGTGCCATTGGATTGCTTTCAGAATTTAAGAAGGGATGGTCCTTCAAAGTTAAATTACATATTCAGCCAGGATTCAAGGAATTCAGATTTAGTGCATTCTGTAAGACTTTTCCAAGACTTCATTCTCATGATATTTGAGCTGGGAATTGGGCTTGTAACAAGCCATATTAATTAAGACCAGGGGGGGTGCATAAAGTAAATATATATATATATGTTTCCTCTTGAATACGGATGACACCTGCTGAACTATTTTGAATTCACTGTGGTTTGGCAAGAAACAAAACCTGAAACATTTTGGTTCCCAGGGTTTGGCTCAAAAGAAACGCCTCCTCCACACCCTGCTGCCAAGAAAACCTTTCAGCCTTTTGCTCTTTCTCCCTACTTCCCCCGTCTTAACCGGAACAAAGTATTTTGACCTATGTATAGAAGTGAGCTTTCTTTTGTTCTGCATCAGGATTAAAATGGTTCACCGACAAATGCACGCACGACAAAAGCGCGCCGACAAAAGCGCGGCGAGAAAACCGTGACGTCAAACTCGCGCCCACAACAGCGTGCCGACAACAGCGTGCCGACAAAAGCGCGCCTTCGACAAACAACGCGAAAACAACGTAATAATCCTAAACCTAACCCTGAACCTAACCCTTACCTTAACCCCAATCGCGCTTTTGTCACCGCGCTGTTGTCGCCGCGCTGTTGTGGGCGTGATTTCGATGTCACGGTTTTCTCGCCGCGGTTTTATCGGCGCACTTTTGTCGTGCATGCATTTGTCGGGTCACGGATTAAAATGTGTAATCAACTCAGAAACAACTTTTCTGTGTACGTTATTGTTTCATACATGGAGTGTCTTGCACATCCTTAGTTAATACTATCCATGGAGGAGTTCATTTGATTTCAAAATCAATTCATAGGTTATTCATTTATAGGTCATTGTTGGACAGCCATATTTATGCAAAAAAATTCTACTCAGTTTGTTAGGCTCACTCTTCAAGTAGGTTTGTTCCAGTGGTGGGTTTCAAATTTTTTTGGAACCTACTCTGTGGGTGTGGCCTCCTTTGTGGGAGTGGCTTGCCACCCATGTGACCGGATAGGAGTGGCTTGCCGCCCGTGTGACCAGATATGAAATTATGAATTAGTACTTAGGTTGGTCCAAGTAACTATTCAGAAACTCTGGCAT